TGCAGTTTCTTCAGCATCCAGAAGGGGTCCGTTTGGTCTGCCTCAACCTGCATGGTGTCAAGTGATATTTGTAGCAGGTTTAGAATTAGGTCTCTCCCTCTCTCTGGTTAGCTAACAAAACAGTGAGTGACTTCTCTGAATAGCAATGTGGACACTTTCATGAGTCCTAACATCAGGCAATATCCTTGACACTGAGCCAGCACATCCCTCAAGTGAGAGGGTCTCCTTCATATTTGCAGAGTGCAGACACATTAATAATTGATTGATAGACAGTCAGCACAGTGTAATTCTGAAATGCAATGGCTTGCCCTTATGCATGAGCCATTTGCAGCACGATAGGTCCTGGAGGTGTCAGATAAGTCATCTTTCACCACAATGCTGAAATGCAATACCTGCCATGTCCAAAAAGCAATAGATACTAGCAGACAGAGAACATGCTTTTCAGAGAAAATGTGAAGGAAAATTTAAAAAATGGCAAACTGCAGGAGCAAAGGGTATGAGTCATCACCAATGGACACTATAAGAATACTAAACACTACCAATCTACATGTGATGGGATTTTTTAAAATGTATGTGTCGATAAATGTACCAGTGGAAACAATTACTCCAATATTCTATCAATAACCATACTCAACACTCAATAAGTCACTGAAACCATTGTTTTTCCTGGACTCATTTTATTACAAAGTTCTTGAGGACTTATTACAAGGGATTTTTCCTTAACATGCGAAAACAGAAAGAAACAGAACACATGGGAATTGAACAAACAGGTAGGATCTGACAATCCACTGTTCACGATAAACATAAGTTCTGATAAAGCCCTCGGGAGCAGGGAGCCAGTGAATGACTACGGTGCAGGCATAGAACGGCCACATTCACACTGACTCAGCAAAGATCAATCCAACCAAGGCAAGATGTGCACATCTCAAGAAACACATTACAATGTTTATATGCCATCGGCTTTTGTCATACGTTTTAAAAAGCTTCACTTGCATGTACATAAAACTGTACAAAAACATGGCATCACAAGCATTTTGTCCTATATAAATATAACCAACAATTAGGATAACAACTTGGTACTCTCCTGCAAAGACAAACTTTCAAGGCAGCTGTCCTTATTTTAGTGTGAACTGTCTGTGACAGTGATGAATGTCAGCTCATTTGGGGAGGGGGGTCTTGAACAGAAACCAGCACTAACACCTCAGCAAAAACAGTAAACAATTTCTACCAATTATCTTTGGAATTCATGCTAAACTCATAGCCTGCCTGACAGCACACATGGGGATGTGTAGATCTACATATGTACAGTACACCTTCAGGAGAGATTTGTCACATACAGCTCGCTTTGATTTACTATGTAAGGAAGCTTAGTCTTATGTAACACCTGCAAGAAAAATAATTTGCCCATTCTCCAGTGTTTCATAATGTTAATCAATCTACAGCCACAATCACCATACAATACCACTACAGAGAGGCAGAGGATACTCAGGTGAACTTCACATGAAATAAAACATCAAAAATACAAACTAAACATGATTGGACATACTGTGGAGTGTATCAAAGGTTTTCATGCTGTCCTCTACTTTGATAAAGGACAACCATCCTGCTTTCTAGAGAGCAGTCAACACCAATAATACATTCAGCGTGAGTTCAAAAGAGAGGTAAAACCATGTGATTCAGTATATTCAAAGAGTCAGAACTATTGATATAGGCTGGAGAAAAGGAGTATAACACAGTTATTCAGGCTGAAAAAACAAGAAAATGGATGCTAAGACTGGTGTTGGTAAGGACTCAACCCCAGTGGTTTAATTTTAATATGGTCTTGAGTCAAAACCAGTGATTCAGTCAAGCCAGAGTGAAGCCAAACCAAGTGATTCAGACTTTCATTAGTAAAGAGATAAAACTGGTGATTCATGCCAGATTCACTCAGGAGATTCACGCTCGAGTCAGAGGAGTCGGTGAATCAGAATAGTCAGATGAGTCAAAGCCAGTGAATCTGAAAGGAGTCAGACATAGCGTAGGAGCCAAAGCCAGTGATTGAGTCTGTGTGACGTTGGCTTTATCACTCATCGCTATCTTTCACACGTATCATTAATTCCAGGTCAGTGAACTCACCCGCAGCTGTAGCTCTGTGAAGCTGCTCTGTGCCACACTGAGAAGGGGGTGGGGGGCAGCGAAGGGGCTTCATCACAGTGTATCATGACTCGCTGGATTTTCTTTCAGCAGCTAAACCCTTGCAAAATAAAAACAAGTCAAATTTGTAGATTCACATGTCAAATTTTGCATGTGATTTGTTCACACGTGTCTTCACACGTGTCCGAAAACCACATTTTTTTTCACACGGGATTTGTTCTTTGTTGTTGTAAGGGAATGGCTTTGAAAACAGCATTATGTGAATTTTTCCCTCAAGGCTAGGTTAATCCCTCACCTTATTTAATCATTGCCATGTCCAGTAATTTCCATATGTTCTGAGTTGAATTATTCTACATGTGCTGCCAACGGCAGTGCGATGAGGTAAGTGCAGATAAAAATACCCCTTTTAAATGATTTTGCGGATGGATTTGGATTATGTGGCTGCTGTGTTGTCCTCAGGGTGTGTGCTCAGTGCTCACATATGCCCTGGCTCAGGACTCATTACTCACAGTAATTAGGGGAGCGGAGCATCCATTCCAGGCTCTTCCACCCTTACTCAGACCATACCCACTGTTTCTCTCTCCATAGAAATACACTGCGGTCAAAACTAAGGTACAAATCTAATCGAATCAGTGTACAAATCAAAAGCTATGAGTAATGCTACTGTGCTGTGGGGCGGGCTGGTGGCATTATCATTATCCAATTACATACTAATATTCCTGTGTCCTCCAGACGTCTGCTTTTAAATGACTTTGAAAATATGTCTTTGTCAAAGATAGCTGCTGCAGCCTACAGGAATGCCCTCTATCTATATCATCCTCAATTGAAGAGTGAGGAACAACAGATAACAAGCTAACATAACCTGTTGGCCTCAATGAAAGTCAACTGGAAATGGACTGGAAATATGGGACAGTAAATACACTCCTGCTACCAATACTTAACTTTATTTGAAATGGAACCATTTCACCATTGTTTATTACATGCACCAATGGATGCAACAGGTCTTTTAAAACAAAATGGTGACCAGAGTGTTTTCTAAGGCATTGACAACCACTTTTCTTCTTCACACATTGAAATGTCTCTTAGTCCCAGATTACTGAAACCTTTCAGGAGTCAGCCTGTGAATGTAAAAAGCTTAGTTTCTGTGAGACAGGGGAGTTCAGTCACAGCACTCTCAGACACTTCAGTGGTTCTCAGGACTGAAGAGTTCTGTGTTGAAACTTGTGTGAATAACTCCTTATGCATTAATCAGAACTATTGAAATTCATGCGGATCGTGAAGAGAAACCCTAATGAGGCTGGAGACACGGGGTTGTAGTTAATGGTGACCTCTACGTGGAGAGCCACTGATTAGCTCAGTGTTGTTCAGCCATAGGGAGGCCTAGCATTGGAGAGGAGCTTTTCACACAGAACAGAGAATATAGTCTCATCTAGGTGGAGAACCACAGGTTCTACTCTGAGAGGGGCAACCCATATCAGAATGTGTGCTAAAGGTTAGGGAATGGTCAGTGCGACCAAGGGCGGTGGCCTCTAAGTGTACTGTTTCCAGGAAAAGAGACGGGTCACAGTGCTGAGACTCAGTGAAACACACATTGTCCGATTAAATGCTGCCACACAGCTCTCATCAACGGCTAAAGAGATCTCCATGGAGCATGAGGTAAAAGGCCATGGTTCTATCATGATTGGGGGTCACAGGTGTGTGTGTGTGTGTGTGTGTGTGTGTGATTGTAAGTAGTTGATGGAATTCAATCAAGAGCTTTTCCACACTGTCCATCCAAGCTTTTGGAAAACATTTCAATCAAGTTTTAAACAGCAGCAGCAAAGAAAAGCTCAAATGCTAAAATTCTGAGGCTATTGTTATCAGCTTGAGCCAGACAGAAATATATACAGGATACAGTATACACCATTCAAATGTATTTACAGCACTGTACATTAAGAAAGACCATTCCATTTGATTTGTAATCAAAAGCATTAAGTCTACCCTAGGGCTTTATCGCCTGTCAGTAGAATGTTATCTGGTTATGGTACTAAAGCACTGATCACACATTGAAGTACCAGAGAACATTCCACAGGCTGGGGCTAAGCTAAGGAAATCAGTAGCATTTGAGGGATTGATTGTAAGTTGTTTTAGTGTGATATTACCACAAGTGTTAAATCAATGCTTTCAAATAAACTGCATCAATAAATAAATACATTAACTAATTAATACATTAATGAACCAATAGATATGTAAATAAATAAAATAAATAAACTGAAAAACTCCTATTGCACGTACCAATGGTTGCACAAATTACAGGCCATCTTTCCTACAGAACGGGTATTTATTTAAATAAATGGACAATTCAGATGCTAATGCGGCGTTCATAACCAAGTGAGAAGGTGGTAATTACCTGTTGTGAAGTTGTAAATACCAGATGGATGCATTCACATGCTTTGAATCTGTTGAGAAATGCCGATTGGCTAATGGCCAACAAGCTGCGTCAACCATAAACTAAAAGTACAGCTATCATGCTTGTAAACAAATTATAGTGTTAAAAAACCATATGAATAGATTGCTTTTTATAAATAATGTTTTGTTGTTGCATTTAACTGCCGAAAATGCTGTTATCAAGGTAATTTCCTTAGTAAGTGACAGAGGTGAGCATGTGGGAGAAGTCGGAGTTTAGGGATGATAGACGTGTTTCCCTCTAGTAATTACCAGTTGGTGGGGCGTTCAAGCGGATTCTTCCCAGTCGTATGTGGTAATTACCACCTTCCCACTTGGTTATGAATGCAGCATTAGAGCATGTTTCTTTTTTATAACGTGGGTGTGTCTCTGTGGCTTCTCCTCTATCTGTGCACCAATCAGACGTGGGAGGTGTGGCTTCCTCACAGGTAGATCTCTCGTTTGGGGGTGTGGCTAGGAGGGGAGGTGGACGGGAACTCGGTGGCCACGCTCAGGGGCACCTCCTCCAGGGGGAAGTCCTGACTTGGAGCGTGGCCGCTGTTGGAATAGGCACTGCGGGAGGGCGGAAGGTGGGCTCGGTGCTCCTCTCCACCCAGCCTGGCGCTCCCGTTGGCCAAGCGGCCCAGGCTCCCTCTCTCCTGGTAAGGCACGAAGGTGGAGAGTTTGGGGGGGTTCCTGGTCTTGCGCACTGGGGAGGGCTGCCCAGGCATCCAGCAGGCGTCTGAGTGGCCCAGCTCGCTGCACTCCTGAGTACAGTTCCCCGTCATGGCCACATCAGGAATGGATCGCATATCTGCAGGGAGAGAAGAACACCCATGTTCAGAGAAGTTCAAATATTAGCAGACAAGAAAGAAAATAGAGGGAGTTTCACTGCTGATATAACAATGCCCAGTCTGTGAAAACCTTCCTGCTCTGTCTGCTATTTCACTTGTAGTTGTTGCTATGCACAGTACAGCTGTTGCTATGCACGGTGCCATGGATGCTACAGTAGGTGCAGTCCGGTGGTGTGTTCTATTAAGTCATTTCAATGATTTGGGCAATCATTGCTAAGTATCAGTGGAGGCTCCTCAGAGGAAGAAGGGGAGGACCATCCTCCTCAGTAAATTTCATAAAAATTCAAATTGTAAAACATTTAAAAAGTTATCCTTTTTAGATACAACTATACTAAATATAATCACGTCACCAAATAACTGATTAAAACACACTATTTTGCAAAGAAGGTCTACAGTAGCCTCAACAGCACTCTGTAGGGTAGCACCATGGTGTAGCTGGAGGACAGCTAGCTTCCGTCCTCCTCTGGGTACATTGACTTCAATACAAAACCTAGGAGGCTCATGGTTCTCACACCCTTACATAGACTTACACAGTAATTATGACAAATTCCGGAGGACGGCCTCCAACCTATCAGAGCTCTTGCAGCATGAACTGACATGTTGTCCATCCAATCAAAGGATCAGATAATTAATCTAGTACTGAAAGCTACAGCTAGCTAGCACTGCAGTGCATAAAATGAGGTGAGTAGTTGACTCAAATAAAGAGAAAGACAATAGTTGATTTCTTCAAAAATGAAGGAGAAGCAAGATGCAGCTAGCAAATGCAGCTAGCTAGTTTAGCCTACTGAAACACCCTGCTCAAACAGAGGGATGCTATGTTAGCTATCTGGCTATGACTTTACAACACATTACTGGAACTCTTCTAAGCAGTGGCGGCTCCTGAAAAAATTCTCAGGAGGGGCAATTTTTCTGATGATTTAGGTGACCTACACACATTTTAAAAAAGATATGTCCAGCAACAACATGAAGACAGGGGCAGCATATAAGTCAATACCAGAAGCATTTATTGACTGATCTCAAAAGTGTTGGCTTACCAGGGTTGGTGGAGCCCTCAGTTTCATCTTTGCCTCGCAAAGCTAACTCAAACACTCCGCAAAACTTCACACACTGGATTAGCCGGCTGAGGATGTGGCGGTTCTTGCTAATGTCGTAGTAAATATATGTGTTATAGTGAATATGTGTTATAGTGAATATGGAATATGATATGTTGAGTAAAATGTTGTGCTAAGATCTATTTAGGTCAGGAGCTGGTTATAAGTTCTGTTCCTATCCAATAACAATGGACAAAAGGGTCCTATCTTGTCAGCCTTGTCAGCAGGTGGCCAAGGACAACACCCACGCCATAGGCCTCTCAGTTCTTCCAACTCACGAGTTCTTGCTCTGAGGACACACACACACACACACACAAACACACACACACACACATCATCACTGTTAAACACACACACACACACACACACATCATCACTGTTAAACACACACACACACACACACACACACAAAAATCCCCTCTCTTAGGCTGAACATTTGAAGACAGAGTACCCGACTCAGAGCCAATGCAACAGTGACAGTAGCCTGCAGGGGACCTCGCCCAACTCATCAGGACCAATCAGAAGATCAGAACTACTAGATTGAACCTACTTCATTTATTGCATAAAATGTCTGCACACAATGTTTCGGGGCTCTCTTCAGATAATAATAATAATAATAATAATAATATGCCATTTAGCAGACGCTTTTATCCAAAGCGACTTACAGTCATGCGTGCATACATTTTTGTGTATGGGTGGTCCCGGGGATCGAACCCACTACCTTGGCGTTACAAGCACCATGCTCTACCAGCTGAGCTACAGAAAGTGGATACTCATGGATGCGCATTGCAATTGTAAAATGTCAACACAATTGGAGACACCACGTCATTTTTGGAGACATGTTATTGACAGTAAACTATTGAAGATGCGACTGCTAACTAAATAAAACATTTTAGCTGGCTAGCTAATCATCTTAGCTAAATGTGGGGCAAACAATTCAGTTATTTACCGTTAATTTGAGGGATTGGGGTGAAAAAAATCGAGTTACATAGTGATACTTTACGATATACTGTATTGACAATATCGCAATATTTTAGCGCTAGTTGGCTGTACCTGCACCAAAACACCATTATTGTTCCTTCATAGCTTGTTCTCAATCTTTTCACATTGGGAGCAAATTTGTTTTCAGCACTTTTATTTCCATGACTGATCAAAACTCGTTCTCATGGCTTTCTGAGCCCTCTGCAACAGACATATGGTGCGCAATAAAATCACAGTATCGAATCGCAATACGTATAGAATCATGAGACTCGCAATGCTGATGCATATATCTTATCGTGAGGTTCCTGGCAATTCCCAGCCCAAGTTCATTTGCCACAACAAATCTCTTCGCTAGCAAACGCGATGTCTTCTCCAAAACGGCAATGTGTCTCCAGCAATGTTTACTTTTTTGACGTTCTATGGCATCTCCACTTTCCAAGCATATATGACCACATGTAATATTTTGGTAAGTGATGCAAATAGTGAACTATGTAGGGCCAGGATGTAAAATATATGTAGCTGCAGCAATTTCTCTTATCTGATATGGTAAGTAATGGGGCTTAATTTATAGCTCCCTAAGAGTTTGACGAACGGGTCCGTGAACGCGATTCCAGATATATTTACCTCTGAATAAACTGCCTTTATTACACCATATCCACATCCAGTAAACTTGTGATTATCAACACTAACCTCATCGTTGTGGCGGCGGACAGCTAGCCTGTATCCCTCGTCATCCAGTTGAGTGAGTGGCAATGTCTTTTTTCGTTCGTACCAATTTTTGGAAAATCCTCGGGTGTAGGACTTTCCGCCTTTAGTAGAAACCTGTTGAATTATTAAATTTGGTCTGGGAGGTCCTAATTGTTTCGTTGCCAATTTATCTTCATTTGTTCGCCGACAAAAAGGAACTTCTTTCAAACAATCCACTCTTTTCTCAGTTACGTTCATGGTTACGTAACGTATGACGAAAGCGCGTAAGTGCAAGCCCACAGACACCCATTGAGATTGTATTGAAGGCTCTGAAATTTGAAAAAAATAGATTTTACATGGGAGTCTATTACAGACTTCTGGGCGATTTTCAACCTGACTGAAATCGCCCCAAAAGGGGGGGGAGCCATTTGAAGCACGACTTTAGCCTGATTCGACATTTAGTGGCAGTGTGGCACTGTGGCAGATCAGACGTATAGATTACAACACTGATAACTACTGTTGCCGTGATATAATTGATTAGAAAAAAAATCCCTTCCTTTTCCCGTTTGGCAGTGCGTCGCCCATATCGCCCTATTGAACAGGCCGCCCCTGCTTCTAAGTCAAGGGAAGCTTTTGGTATTACTAATTTATTGCCACCGGGGCCCACTGGTGTAACTGCTTACTGTACACTAACATTAATGTATGATTGTAGCGGGTTTACTAACGCGTTAGTTCTATTAGCTATGCTGACTATGACGTTACTTTAGCTAATATGGTGACAACGAAGTAGGCTGTTTGTAGAGGTTTGGCTTGGAAAGGTTTTTTCGCCTGGTCACATACAGCTGATGTGTTGTGCATTGAAGTCCACAAGCGAAGGGAAGAGAAGGAAAACCACGTGGCTGTTATGAGAGTGAACTCTGTTTACGCGTGATCAGGGGTGTATTCATTCCGCTGATTCTGTTGAAATGGATGCAAACGGAACAAAACGGGGATAAACATACCTGAATTTGTCCAATAGAAACTCTTGTTTGCAACTGTTGGACTAATGATTACACCCTATATCAGCTAGATGCAGGCAAGAGTGTGCAAGGCGGTATTGAATGTCACTGTCTGTCACCTCAAATTTGTCTCTCGACCTGTGTGCACCTACGTTGTAAACTTTAATTCATAGGCTAGGTTGTAGAAACCTCATGATTGGTATAGGGAAAATTTGAGTATCATGTAGTAGCCTAAACCTATCGCTGTTACATTGAACTGGGTGAATGGAATATGAATGAGAGTCATCTGATATGCTGTAATAGAAATAAGGCCAGTGGCGGCTCCTGAACAAATTCTCAGGGAGGGCAATTTTTCTGATGATTTAGGTGACCTACACACATTTTTAAAAAGATATGTCCAGCAACAACATGAAGACAGGGGCAGCATATAAGTCAATACCAGAAGCATTTATTGACTGATCTCAAAAGTGTTGGCTTACAAAAGCAAAATAAGTTATCACAGTAAAAATAATCAAGGGTGTTCTTTCACATTCCTCAACACTGCATAAACAATATGCATTTCCATAAACAAATGAAATATCAGCTGAAAATACAGCATCTTGGTATTTGTTCAGATTGCAGGATCAACAAGAGCTTTTACCACATTTTTTGATATCTGTTTAATCTTACCTTATGGCCTGCACTTGCTTGTGAAGCTGTCGAGGGCACGTTTGATAGAGACAGCATCGATGTCCTTCTTCTGTAGCTTCTGGTACAGAATGTCGACGTGGGGCATGATTTTGTGAAAAAGCCGCAGGAAAAAAATTAAATCTTCATCATGTAGTATCCTCACGTAGCCAGCTGCCTCTCTCAAGGTGTGCTGGTCAAATGAACCCAATGAACCCGTCCGGATGGCTTCAAAACATTATATGAGGTCGTCTCGATTCTCGTAGACAGTGTTCACGACTCTGCTGTTGCTAACCTCATCGTTGTGGCGGCGGACAGCTAGCCTGTATCCCTCATCCAGTTGAGTGGCAATATTCACTCTCCCAAAAGCAGACAATCTCAAACAGCTATATGTGGGTCTTTGACAGCTAATTTTTCTTAATCTTTTCTGAAAGATGGTGCATGTCGGTTACACCAGTCGCTGTCCAAGCGGTGCTGTCTGCTGTGCCGCCTTCAGGGTGGAAGAGTAAGCAGGGGTAGCAAAAAACTGCATTAGCTACATCGCAGCCTGCTAGCCAGGTTTTCCGTTCATACCAATTTTTGGAAAATCCTCGGGTGTAGGACTTCCCCCCTTTAGTAGACACCTGTTGAATTATTAAATTTGGTCTGGGGGGTCCTAATTGTTTCGTTGCCAATTTATCTTCATTTGTTCGCCGACAAAAAGGAACTTCTTTCAAACACACAATCGAGTTGGACTGAAGCCTAGCCATTTTGATAGTAGTAGTGAATTGAATGAGGCTGCTACCTGGTCTTTTCTTAGTTACGTTCATTCGTGGTTACGTTATGTATGACGAAAGCGCGTAAGTGCAAGCCCACAGACACCCATAGAGAATGTATTGAAAGCTTTGAAATGTGACAAAACTAGATTTTACATGGGAGTCTATGACAGACTTCTGGGCGATTTTCAACCTGACTGAAATCGCCCAAAAAACGGGCGGGGCCATTTGAAGCACGACTTTAGCCTGATTTGACATTTAGTGGCTGGCAGATCAGACGTGAACACTGATAACTGCTGTTGCCGTGATATAATTTTTTATAAATTTATAAAAAAAAAATATTTTTTTTTATTTAATTTTTTTTTAAATAATTGATTAGAAAAAAAATCCCTTCCTTTTCCCGTTTGGCAGTGCGTCGCCCATATCGCCCTATTGAACAAGCCGTCCCTGAATAAGGCCATGCTCATAAAAAAAAAAAATTGTCCTCCCTCATCTTAAACGGCACTGACCGCCACTGCTAAGTATTGAGCAAGGGTTACAACCGTGTGTCTAGTGGTGATTGATATGTGCCGTAATTTCACTGTTGTTGCCAAGTTCTGTGCTGCCCGTGGCTGTATTGTGTTGTATGTAGGTTGCCATCTAGTATGCAGTGGGTGTAAATGGTGCCCCCAATGTGTTTCCAGAGAGAAAAAAATAAGTTTAACACACAAACACGCATGCATGATCAGACAACACACCCACACAACACACCCACACACAATGCTGCATGTGGCTCCAAAGGGATCCCTGCAGGGCCCCAGGGTAAACCCATTGTGGTATGGTTGTTATTGACTGGCAAGTCTGAAATGAGTCCATGTCCCTGATTGTTATCCATTTTCCATTCTACCATTCCTAATTAATTAAATAGGTCCACGACCTACTGACCTCATTCCAAACAGCACAGATCCAAATCAATAGCTGTACTGTATACCTACGCCCTTTTTGGGCAGTCACAGAAAATACAAGGTATGGTGACTGGGTCTCAGTCAATATGTACAGTAAATTGATAGCACCTATGAACCTCAAAACACAAACAACAGAGATATTCTGTCAATTCAGCTTTCTGTGCAGTTCACAGAGAAACAAGCATGCAGAGCAACCCTTACATGTGTTTGCCTGGAAATTGCAGATGGCAGCCTGTAGGCCTGCTTATAAGCCCAGGGCACCCGTTCCCCACTGGTCTCTCTGTGTCTGTACACACAGCTGGCTCTAATGCAGCCATTAGGTAGGACTTATGGGCTGTTCCACCTGCACAACACAGGGGATGGGAGCCCCCCCTGTTCCCTTTTACACAAGGCCACAGTATTGACCATTTTACCTACCATGCGCATTCAGCTCAGCACAGCTCACACTGCTGAAATAAACAGACCCCAAACACACAGCAGACATGGAAGATACATCAAAGAAGTTGCACAGTAGGTTAAAGGAGCAGCCAAAGACAGGCGAGGGAAAAGGAGGATTTTTTATCCTGGAGTGGAGCTTTGAATAAATCAAGGTCTGGAACAAACCCTTTAAGAGTTCACTGTCTCATGTGTCACGGATGGAGATTGCAGCGCCAATAGGCCGGGAGCAGGAAGAGAGCGGGCAGCCCAGAGAGAGTGGATGGGCGAGCCGCAGCACTGGCAGGGCAGTGGCTTTAACAGCAAGGTGATTGGATTTAGAGAGCAGGTGATTGGGTTTTGAAGAGAGGTGACTCAATGCCAATTTTTCTCCCTACACAGCAAGTCCTGGACTCTCCAGATCTGGAGACAGCCCAGTGCAGCCCATGTAGCTCTCGCTCATTCACTTAGAGTCTGTTTCATTTTTAAACATATCTATTTCATATATTCCATTTATTACATCAGACACACTTGGCCATGAACAACAGGAAACCCTGCCGAGCCACATTCAATATCCCATCCACCTCTCGCTTTTTGATTCCCAGTGAACTTCATCATTGATTTCAAATGCACTTCCTTCACACTGGTGTAACACACAATCTACCATGCACGACCATGGAGGAGAGGAGAAGGGGAGTACGTGCAGAACTTAACGCCCCAGCTGATACACATGTGAGGGGTGGGTTTGCATGCTGCTTGCATCAGGGTGCCAGTGGGAGGTGTTGGGTGTCTGAGGCAGGCTTCCTCTCCGTCTGATCCCCTGCCCCATGGGCATGGGGGGAAGCTGCTCTTCCTGAGATTTCACACTGCTCCTCTCTGTTTGATTGCAAATCCTCCCTCTCCCCACTGGCTGCTTTCCAGTGTGTGCCACAGCGCTTGTGATCGATGGGGAACAGACATTAGAGACCCGCAGTTCATAGAAAGATAGAAGAGATCAAAATAAAAACATTATAGCTGGGGATTGACTGTGTGGTCTTAGAATTATATAATTGTGGTTAGTGCTAAAATGTTCATTTATGAATTAAAAATTCAAGGCACCCCACAGACAGTGGAAACAACACCCAATGTATTCACATATCTTTACATACTCTAGGCGTTCTAAATAAAGATGGAGCGTGCCATCAAAACAGGCTGTAAATAGATAGTGATCTGTTCATGCATAGTAGGATAAATACAATTCCGGGGTCGTGTTTGTTTCTTTTTCATTGACATATTGAGCGGGTTTACTAAAGCATTCAAAACAGTTCCCTTCGATAAGCAGTGATACCTGACACTTTGTCTCCCTCAAAAAGAGGGAGTGAGAAAACAGGAGGGAAATAAAATATGTGGCTAAACATATACATTACAAAACACTAAATATACCACACGTACAAAAGGAATATACACATTTTTCACGAACCAAATTCATATGAGACAATTCCTTGTTTTCTATGAAAATCGTTCTGACGTTCTGACGTGTATGGGAGCATTTAGCATATACATTCTGCATACGCAGGTAGCTTAGTGGGTAAGAGCGTTGTGCCAGAAACCGAAAGGTCGCTGGTTCTAATCCCTGAGCCGACTAGGTGAATAATCTGTTGATGTGCCCTTAAGCAAGGCACTTAACCCTAATTGCTCATGTAAGTCACTCTGGATAAGAGCGTCTGCTAAATGACTAAAATGTAAAATTATATAACAGTCCAAATTGTCGTGGGGATGCTCTTTGAGAGGCTGACACTTGAGTGAGAGGAGAGGCAAACAGCATATCCTCCCAGTGATCATCCCTGCCCGTCCTCCAGTCTTTAGCTGCTCTGTGCAGCCTTTCCTCAGTCTAAGGAAGCTAATTTCAGCATGTGAATTTTACACACAAAAAAATCAAAAGTGGGTAAATTTCAAGAAAATATTTTATAAATTATTGAACCTGTGTCTGGTCTACTTTCTCACGGATAACGTCAGTAGAGCTTCTCTGAAGGCCAGTCGTCCCCTGCCTGCCCCTCCCACCCTCCCCCGTTGTTCCCGTCTGTGGACTAATCCCTTTCATTCAACTTCCTGTGTTTCTGACCAACTTTTAGCTATGAGGAAGAGAGGTCAGCGCAAAGGTCCTTTGAAGAAAGCCTTGGAATCCTTAGATAGAAATAATCAAAGTACAAAACCACTGCGGATCTAAGAGTGGCTCTGATGTGGCAGAACAGGGACAAGAGAGGAGATACACAAAGGCTCAGTTGTTTCTGTGAGGCCAAATGTTTTGGTTAAATGACCTTTAAAGTGCATAACAGAGCTCCCACCTGCCCTTCACTGATGGTTTTGTGGGATCAGCTGTCTACTGCTGCAAGAAATCATGCACTATAGAGTGTAGTTTAATAAAGGCCTACATTCAATGCAGCATGCTATTTTTGGTGTTGACATGACATTGGCCTTATTACACTAACAGGATGTTTGGAATGGTTTGTTTTTGTCTTAATACATTTTTATGTGTTTTGGCTGCATAATGATACTGGATCTAACTCGAGGCCTATCATACACATGTCTGCCTACTATGGTATCTTGGGATCTTTGGGATCAATGCTACTTACATTTGGCTATGATAGTAGCCTATGTTTTGGTTTTATGATGCTTCAGTAATATTTGTCAGTTTGGTGAGAGCTTGGTTTCAGCGTGTTTTGAGAGTAGGTGGGAAGATCTTCTGTGTGACTGCAATGATGCTCTGTTCCTTGTTGAGGAGGCAGTGGCAATGAACCCCAGTGAATTGTGGGACATGCTCCACTGGCTGTGAGAAAGCCTTAAAGGCCATTCCACAGTGACTCGCTAGAAATAAGGAAGTACATGTCAGACCCACACAGTTCCAGTCCCTCAAGTGCCATCCATCATGCAAGGGCAGTTCACTACTTAGAGAGCTGTTGAGCAGCTTTCGGTCCACATCGCACTGTGATGGAGAGATGACCCCCGGGGTCTCTCTCTAATGCCCGTCTGAGCAGCCCAACTGGGGCGGAAGACGATGTGGCCCCGAGTCAGTGCCCCTCCCCAAATTACTGTGTATTACCTGCTCTATGAACCCAGAGATGGTGAGACTGGGCGGGGCAAACCAACGCCACTAAGACCCATAGAACTCCACCAGCACTTTCTATATCTGATCCTCTAATTACCCCCTCCCATGCCTCCCCCTGCCTGCCCTGGACCCCCTGTTGCTGCGGTGGGACCCCCAGCCGAATGGGCCCTCTCCAGTGGCTGAGAGCAGAGCAAGGCTAATGGATACATTATTCTGCCTTTCTCATTGTAACTACATACTCTCAGGCCCCAGCTCACACAGATATCATCACTTCCAAATCTGCAGCTTCAGTTCGCCGGTTCCTGCTGATACGGTGCGAGCAGGCACAATCCTATCCAAGATGTTTCTATGGACAGAGAGAGTGATACATTCCTATTAAAGTAATACATGCACACAGACTGTATATAGAGGTTAGAGATACTGGCACACTCGTCCACTTTACAAGCTTAGCCGTAAAACCGGACATTTACAGCGAGTACGTGGTATTAAGAGCAGTCATTTAATACTTTGAAAGTGTAGTTAGAAAGATTATTTAGGGGACCTAATGTGTATTCATATCCGTGTGCTCTGACTCTGACAAATAGCTACACTAATTCATAGTGATCATCTAAGTTTTACAGCACTGGCATGGCTTTAAAGAAGCTTATTCATTCACCCAGTTTTAAATTCAAGTGAAAAGGATTGGGATTTGTCAATAGAACCAGAAAGAATATCAAAACTGTGAATATGAGTATGTTAATAAGCACTGTTTGAGTCAATCACATCCCTCATGATTTATGTTCTTCTCATAATACTGTGGCTGAAACCCCAAAAGTGACTTTGATGAACACAGAAATGGAAATACAGAACAATCTCCCTGACATCCATTTGAAATGCAACATGGAATATAGCCAAAATTAATTTAAAGTTCTGTCAAAGCATCGCTGTTATCAACAGTATTATCAAAGCCTTACAGCGAACTGGACTGGCCTCACTGAATGATGTAACTTTGGGGAAATCTTTTTAAGTGGAAGAAAAGATTGTGTGAAATTGTCGGCAATGGGTAGAATTTGGGTACTAGAATAATAAGGACAGCATCGTAATGTGGTTGCTACTGCATGTTGTGGCTGCAATCTGTTTTATAAGCTTTCATGCCAATCCACCACGAAGGACAATGAGCCAATCTCCTATATGATACGGTCAATGGTTTGGTCCCTGATACCCGGTTTTCACTTAGTCCATCCCAATGGTCTCTCTTCTCTTTAGGGGTATCATTTTACAGCCATTGCAGTGAGTGGGTCGATGCATTGGTTGTGTTGTGGGATAGGGCCATGTTGCCAGTGACCACAGACAGATAGGAGTTATCCAGACTGATAGAGGGGCGTCTAGAGACATCTATGACACCCTAGAACATCATCACTACACTAGCCTTTTGTGTTCAGCTCCATTGCCCCATTAGCGCATCACCAAAAGGGATATGGTGAAACATTGTCCGTAGTGCCAAAAGCTTGTGGCAGATTAGAGAATGTAATTCTGCTACAGTAAGAAACATCTCTAACACTGACCTGCTTGCTCTGCAGTAAAGATACTAACAACAACTAAAAAATTGGGAGCAACGAACAGCAGCAGCTGATTGGAACTGAGCAAAATAGCTGTGCCAGAATGTGCTCTGTATTAAGGCCAGATTTCTCATGACAACTTGCCTCAGGGGGACCCTTTGCATGGGAGCGCATTGTTCACACATTTTCAACTGGGCCCAAAATAAGCTGTGAGTCACATGACCTGTCGCCTCTAAGGTGGTGGCAGTCCCAGGATAGGCTGGCATAGGCCACTGTCCTGGGAGAGGCTGGCACAGGCCTCTGCAATCAATTCTACTAACAGGCAGGGACTCTGACAAGGCCCAGCACCATCTGTCTGAGCAAAACCATGCCCCTGCATCGCCACGCCA